AAAATTTCAGTTTGCTTCAGTTCAGGGAAGTTTTCTTTTATTGTTAGTATAATAGTTGCCTCTCTTTTTTCTCTTTCTGCCCCTACTATTCACAATTCAAGGTTTTAGAATCTACCTTCCAAGTTTCTTACCATTTGCTGTCTATCTCTTTTTCTCTTTGCCCTAATATATCAAGACATTTCTTACCTTTGATTTTCTGGGATGCTAATTCAGATCTCCACGGTGACTTTCCTCTCCTTCAATTAATCTACTGAATTGTATTTAGTTAGGAAATTACGATTTTCAGCTCTGGGATGTCTTTTTTGTGCTATATTTAAATCTCCTTCCATGCCTTTTTTTTTAATTCAAATTGTTTTGTCTCTTCCAAGAGCTCTGTTTATTTTGCCTCATCTTCCTCTCTCTAGCGCAAGGTCTTTAGAGAGCTCTTGCTTTTCTTCAGTGGCTCCTGGTTTCACACACCACGATGGCACCTGCCTCAAAGGCAGAGGACTCTGGCCTGTGTGGTCAAGGTCACAGAAACAGAGGCTTTCGGTCCATGTCCAGCTTCAAGGGCAGGAAAGACCCAATCCACCCATTTGGTCGCCTCTTGGCCTCTTCAGGTCCAGGGAGCCCAGGCCTGCTCACAGAGAACTCACATCAACCTTCCCCCAGAGAATCCCGTAGAACCCAAAGTCCCCTTGCACCCAGCTCTCCACTAAGCCCAGCAGTTGCTTGCCTCAGAGGAAGCGCAAAGAGGCTAGAGCGGGGGCAGAGGGGAGGGGAGCTATGTTCACTGGGGAGGCTTCCCAGGGTCCCAGCATGAACCCTTAGACAAACCATGACTTCAAATACAAGTCCAGGCAGGAGCAGTTTCAGGAAGTCCCCCAGCCGTCGGGTGGCACACACTATTCTCTCTTTGTTGTTGATGGTATTTTGTTGTATCATGTTAGCCTTTCAGGGCCCTTTTCTTATAGATAAGCCAGTAGGTTCACATCCAAGTACTGCACGCCACGAGGCACCCCTCAGATCATCCTGTCCAGTGGAGTCAGCAGGCTCTCCAAATCCATATCCCTCAACTCTACGCTGTGCGTTTAGATTTTATCTTCAAAGTATCTCTCGGATCCACCCACCTCTCCTCATCTCTGCCTCTATGATCTTAATGCAAAAGCCACCATCATCTCACCTCTGTCCTGGTCCCTACACTGGCCTGCTAAATAGTCCCCTACAATTATTCTTTCTTCTTGCAACCCATCCTGTGCCCCTGATTAAAACTCTGCTACAGGGCTTCCCTGGTGGCGCAGTGGTTGGGAGTCCGCCTGCCGATGCAGGGGACGCGGGTTTGTGCCCCGGTCCGGGAGGATCCCACATGCCGCGGAGCGGCTGGGCCCGTGAGCCATGGCCGCTGAGCCTGCGCGTCCGGAGCCTGTGCTCCTCAACGGGAGAGGCCACAACAGTGAGAGGCCCGCGTACCGCAAAAAACAAAAAAAACAAAAGCACTGCTACAGCACTGTCCCCTTGTTGAGCTGGCCTGGAGTGAGGAAGGCGATGCCTGCCTGACGCCCACCTGGTGACACACCCTCATTCCTTCCTCCAAGCCCAACTCCCAGGGTTCCCAATGGCCTTTTCCTTCAGAACCACAGCCTAGGTCTAAACAGATACAACCATGCTTTAGCAGTATTTTACAATAACCAGGATATTTCCATTTAGACAGTATTCTATACACTAGTTCTGTGATCTTTATAAGGAAAGAAATATGTCAGGATTATGTGGGACTTATTTTCTAACTACTTTTTGCAATTATTCAACCTTCTTATCATGAGCATATGTTTTATAATTTTTTTTTAATGTGCACTAAGACAAGGAAGTGTATTGCCAAGGCGCCCCTCTCACCTGTGCGTTAAACATTACCCCATCTCCTCGTCTTTGGTTTGTTCCAGAAATCACACCTCCCACATCCCCACCCCCCACCATCTCTGCTTGAGCCTCACTTTCCTGCAGAACCTTCCTAACAGCTCTGCGCACGCTAACCCTGCCCCCCAGTCCTATGCTCTCATGACGCAGTGCGTGTCTCTTTGCCGCAGACACTGATTTGGGTCCTGTTGCGTTGACATGATGAATATCTACCATCCCTACAGACAGTGAGTTACAAGAAGGCATTATACTCCCACCACCAGGCACAGAAGAGGTAACTGGTCAAGATGTGTTGAATACGTGAAATAAAGATGAAACGCACATCTGAATAGTTCTCTGCAGTTTGCAAAGTGCTTTGGTACAGAGTATAACATGTGACCTTCACAGCTTCACTTTGAAGATGACATCAGCACCCCTTTCTACAGAGGACAGAACGGTTTTCTTTGATTTAGTTCTGTTTTACTCCCCTGTGACTCCCCTGTGGTTTTTTTTAAATGCTATTTTATTATTCCCACTCTAATCTTTATTATTTCTGTTCTTAATCTTTTTTGAATTTGCTCAATTGCTCTTTTCCTCACTTCTTAAGTTGAAATTCAGCTCACTGACTTATTAAACATTTTTAGGGACATTTAAAGCCAAAAGTTGCCCTCCATATATTGCCTTAGTTACATCCCACAAACTGGGGTAATGTTTTTGGTATTATTCAGTTCAAAATATTTAAATTCCCCATTATGATATTTTCTTCGATCTAGGAATCATTTAGAAGTACCTGTTTAATTTTTAAAATACTTATATCACAAAAACTTTTTTGGATATCTTTTTAGTTGTTGCTCTCAAAATTTTGCTGTATTTTGGTCACACTTTTTATTACTGATTCTTTAGGTTTTTTTTTTTTAATTTTATTTTTATTTTTTGCGGTACGCGGGCCTCTCACTGCTGTGGCCTCTCCCGTTGCAGAGCACAGGCTCCGGACGCTCAGGCTCAGCGGCCATGGCTCACAGGCCTAGCCACTCCGCGGCATGTGGGATCTTCCCGGACCGGGGCACGAACCCACGTTCCCTGCATCGGCAGGCGGACTCTCAACCACTGCGCCACCAGGGAAGCCCCTCTCTGGGTTTTTTGAGATTTCTTTTATGGTCAAGTATATGACCAATTACTTTTAAATGTCGCATGAGTGCTTAAAGCCTGGAGTTTACTTAGGGTGACCCACTTGGGTAGAGGGCTCTGGGACTTACAGTTTACCTGATATTCCTCTTGAGAAACAGGTTTATAAAAGGGGTTTTTTTTTTCTTCCTTTTTAAAATTTATTTTATTGAAGTATAGTTGATTTACAATGTTATATTAATTTCTACTGTACAGCAAAGTGACTCAATTATACATATATATACATTCTTATTCATATTCTTTTCCATTATGGTTTATTATAGGATATTGAATATATTTCCTGTGCTATACAGTAGGACCTTGTTGTTTATCCATTCTATGTATAACAGTTTGCATCTGCTAACCCCAAACTCCCAATCCATCCCTCCCCTAGCCCCTCTCCCCCCTTGGCAACCACAAGTCTCTTCTCTGTGTCTGTGAGTCTGTTTCGTAGATAAGTTCATGTGTCATATTTTAGATTCCACATATAAGTGATATCATATGGTATTTGTCTTTCTCTTTCTGACATACTTCACTTAGTATGATAATCTCTAGGTCCATCTATGTTGCTTTCGCTTCCTTTCTAATAACACTGTAATAAAATGGAATAAGTGTTTCTGCTGATACTAGTACCTTGTTTGAGTCATTTGTGCCATCCGCTGTGTTAATTAGCTGCTTTACAAACATAATCTTAGTTCACTCTTACCATACCCTTAGAGGGTATATTTTTATTAATGTACTCATTTTACAGACGAGCATACATGGCACATAGAGGTTAATCAACTTTCCCAAGTCAACTCCGTGACAGAGCTTGTTCTCATCTGGGCTTCTACGACTCCCATATCTGTGCTTTTAAGTACAGCCTGCCGGACCATTCAAGGGAGTGAGCTGCCAGGTCTGCTGGGGCTGGCGCTGTGCGAATTAGGTAATCCCCTCACCTCCAGCTAAATGAATCTGAGCCCTTTTAGGCTGTGGACAGCTCAGAAAAAAAGATAACACATGATTCCAGCAGGGTCTGTTTTCCCCTGTTTGGTTTTACAACAGCAAATTATCTTCTCCTAATCATTTTCAGTTGAGATTAAATCAAGTTTCAATTGTTCATTAAAATCAGAAGGGCTTCCCTGGTGGCGCAGTGGTTGAGAGTCCGCCTGCCGATGCAGGGGACGCGGGTTCGTGCCCCGGTCCGGGAAGATCCCACATGCCGCGGAGTGGCTGGGCCCGTGAGCCATGGCCGCTGAGCCTGCGCGTCCGGAGCCTGTGCTCCGCAGCGGGAGAGGCCACAACGGTGAGAGGCCGACGTACCGCAAAAAAAAAAAAATCAGAAGCAGTGTGGGTGTTGGGATGAGAGCAGCTGGAGTGGACCTCACTGTCCCAGGTGTGACTCCTTCACCTTCCAAGCGAGGGGGACCCTTCCCCATCTGGGCCACAAGAGCAGTAACACGCATCGTCTCTGTTTTAAAATTTATACAAGCCAGGGTTGCATATAATGAAATATAGATATAATAATACCATTAAGATAGAAACAGGAAGCAAAGGAAAAGAGAAAAATCAGTACACCAAAAACCTGAGTTAATATGCTCACTTCACGTGAGTTTTCAAATTCACTATGAGCTTTCTGGTAACTTTGGCAAAAAAAAAAAATTAAATAAATAAATAAATAAATAATTGCATACATACATACATGTATATGTATATATGGTGGGTTCTGTAATTTGAAATAAATGAAAAAAGAATGCATACCAGTTCAACAAGAGAGACTTTTTTTCTGATAGATGATCACTAAGATCCCTTCTGGCTATGGATTTTACTTTTATATTATTTTTTTACGTCTTTACTGGAGTATAATTGCTTTACAATGTTGCGTTAGTTTCTGCTATACAACAAAGTGAATCAGCTATATGTACACATAGATCGCCATATCCCCTCCCTCTTGAGCTTCCCTCCCACCCTCCCTATCCCACCCCTCTAGGTCATCACAAAGCACTGAGCTGAGCTCCCTGTGCTATGCCTGGCTGTGGATTTTATAAGTGCTCAAAACAAATGAAATTATCTCTTTGCATTTGGTTAGACTTGTTCAGATTGCTTATCTATTATTGACTATAAACATCACCTAACACAGATATTAAACTAACCCATGTAGAAATAATCAGCCTTACAAATATCTAAGAAGCTCAAAGCAAAGCAACTATGAACCAAGGCTATATAGTGAAGGGTGGTGGTCAAAATTACAGGCTCCGTAGTCAGAAAGATCTGGGATTGTTATGAATATTAAATACATCTAAAGAGTTACTGTAGAGCCTGGTATATAGTCAGTTCTCCATAACCTATTATTTTTACGTAATGGTGCACTTACCTTTCGCTTTGGACATGCTGTAATACAACCCAGTGATCCCACCATCTGTCTCATAATCCACAGACTGAGCATACTTTAAACCCAGACTGCCTGGCTGCAAGCCTTGGCTCTACCATCTACCAGCTGTTTGTCCTCAGGCAAATTCTTAACCTCTCTGGGCCTCAATCTGGGCCTCAATTTCCTTACATGTGAGATGGAGATAGGAATGATATCTACCTCACAGGATTGCTATGGTGATTAAATGAGGAAATATATGTAAAGTACTGAAGGCAACGCCTGGCACGCCATAAGAGCCATGTAGATATTAGCGACTATTATGGTTATTTCCCAACAAAAAATAACATACATATCCAAAACACTATATATTTTGGAAGATCTTTCCTAAGGGAAAAAGAGCCAGGAATTGAGATGGGAACTTGAATGATATTTATGTTTTCAGTGGGGTTCTCGGTGGGCCAGATAAGATGCCCACATTCCAAAAGCTAAGAGTTTGTGTTCTGAAGGTGAAACTATTCCCATGTGTGAATAATTCTTGAAATAACCTTGGAATCCCATGTGAACATACAGAACTTTTTTCTGTCATTAATTCACAGAGACAATGCGGTCATGTGGAAATCAACTATTTTTTTCCAAATAATTTACCTGCCACAATTTAATCTAGAAGCTGGCCAGCTAGATAGCACTCATGTGGTTAGTGGTTAATCAATGAGATTTAATTTGCCACCTTCCCTAGAGCGGACCCACCCTACCCTGGAGACCACTGGAATGCAATGCAACCGTCAATACGTTTTTTAATCTTTCTGCCTCTGTTTCTCCTTCTATATAACTGAAGAGCCACTTACATGATGAAATGAGATCACACAGGAGTAAGATTCCTCCCAGCACAGTGCCTGGCCCTGAGCAGACCCTTGAGGGCTAGGTTTCCATCTCTTCCTTTTCCTCACAGGACGTGGCCTCTGTGGGGAACTGAGTCTTGAGCTGGTCGACCACCCTTGACCCAGTGAGGGTCTGCGGTCAGGGCGAGAGCTTAGGGGGCCGCAGGGCTTGACTAAGCTCAGACCCCTACAGACGCCTGAGTGGAGCGGCAGCCTGTCGGGTGGGTTTGTGGGACCCGGGAGGGCCCACGTGGAAGGCGGCAACAAGGGGGAAGATGGTCTGAGCCCCTCCCGGGAGGGTCTGCATCGCAGGGTGGGTGCGTGGGCAGTGAGGTGGGTCTGAGGCAGCAGAGGCTCCTCAGGGAAGTTCCGAAACGTCTAGTGACAAAATCGCCCATCCCACGGCATCCTTACTGTTGTTTCTAATTAATTCCATGAATCCGTCAGGGTCGCTGAGGTCACTTTGAAAGGAAGCGTGGAGAAGTGGGCGGATTTCCTCTCTCACTGTTGGGTGACTGATAAAGCAATCTTGTCTTGTTTTCTGGCATGGGACTCTGTGAATATTTAAAGAAAGAATAGAGACTTTTCATACAACCCAAGGCCTCTGTTTTCAGACTCCGGAACTCCCGGGAGGACGGTACCTCCACAGCTCTTTCCCATCCAAGTGAGAAAACAAGAACGCTGCTGGACGCAAGCCTCCAGGTTCCATGGAGGCGCTGACTTCATTCGTGATTTTTAAAGCATGATCTGAAAACTCCTCCGAAAATGGAGCTAACGGCCCATGTGTTCACCTTGGTCACTGGACGAAAACAGAAAAGGAGCCTCTTTCATTGAAATGAAATACTTTGAGCCTTGGGTGCTTCGCAGTATGGGAGCCCTGCTGTGGTGGATCCTGCAGCAAGAGCTGTGGTAACTCAAGAGACCCAGGAAATCACCAAAGTCAGGAGGAAACTCCAGCGAAGACGAAGGTGAAGCGTGGCCCAAGTACATTAGCTCCAGGCTGGGGGGACTTTCAAAAGCTGAGCAGGGCTGAGGCAGCTTTGCCTGAGTTCCCAGAACTTTCCTTACCCTCCTGGTCGGGGTACACAGCATAATTTGTGGGTCTGGAAAAAGACACATGCTCACGTCACAGTGAGAATTCCATTCAGAGCTACAGTAACCTCGCGATTGCTAAAAACAGGGCTCAAATCAAGCGAACCTACTCCTGTTGAAACCGCTATCTTCCAGCTGAAATATTCGTTTTTTCATGGTCGGTTTCTAATTCGTCATTACTTCTTCTCGAATTTATCATTCAAAATCACTTAAATCAGAAGTTTGATTTTGACCAATCAACAACTTCTAAAGGAAGTACGGTCTTCATCCTTCCCTTATTTTCCAAAAGCGCCATCACACATCCAACGTATCATTCAAGCAACAAATATGTATGCACGCATCTAGCACATTTCCTAGGAGACCAAACCAAGAACAGAGTCATGTAAACAAGACACTAGCACACGAAAAGTTCAATAACAAGGCTAAACAATGAACACTGCATGTACAATGAGAAATCTATGTTTAATTCGGAAATAGTACTAAGATAAAGCCTGATTTCAGTGCAGAGAATCAGCAATGATGCCTGGAGTGGGCCGGAAGTCTTGTGAGAGAGATGAATATTGATTTGGGCCTTTAAAAATAAGGAGAAGTTGGAAAATCAGAGAGGCTAGAAGAAGACATTCCAGAACAGAAAAATTATGTAAATAAAGGCAAGAAATCTGAGCAGCGTTGATAAAGTTTCGTAAAGGAAAGTTTTGTAGCCTGATACCAGAACCAACCCGGGACGGAATTAATAGGGAGAATGTATCCCTACCTCCCCTCCTCTGCTGTTTTGCTGCTGCCCCAGGTTCTGGCACATGGGGCCAGCTACATAATGTGCAGAACCCAATGCAAAATGAAAATGCACAGCCCAGTGGGGTGGGGAAGTGAACCTCCCCTTCCCTTGGGCCCATCTCCCCAACGCACAAAAAATGGGAGACCCCCAAGGGATTGCAACCTCTGTGTGGGACATGCTGGGTACCTGGACCAGGAGTGGGTGAGAGGCCACTGCCTTGCCCTGTCTCAGATGCCATGGGGCCTGCACTTGACTCTGATCCTCCTGCACCTACAAACAGGCCCCGCCAGGAGTAGGAAATGGCAGCGGAAATGGAGCATGGACCTCCACCACCAACGCCCCAGGGCAGAGGGCGGCAGGGATCCCAGGCAGAGGTGTGGGGAAGGGGGAGTGGGGCAGGACCCAGGCCCCAGGAGGCTGGGTGCAGGCAGCTAAAAGCCCAGAAGAAGAAATTGCAGGACAGTCAGGCAATTGTGAAGGGTCAAGTTATGCTTTGAATGACAACATAGGTGATGAGTTCTAGTTATTCCCCTCCACCCCAGAGACCACCAGGACAGTGACTCTCTCAGCCTGGCTGACCCCATCCTGTCACTCTTTAGAAAAACCATCTACCAGCTAAGAGGTGATGAACAAAATCAAATCCTTTCATTCAACATCAAGTGATTCAATGTGCAAAGCCCAAAACAACTTTAAACCTCAGGTCTTCCTGTTGCAGTTTATGTAACTTTAAGAATTTTCCCATTTTTGCACCCCTCCTTTTATTTAGTCTACCGGGAAAAATGGTCAACTATCATATTTGCAACGAAAAGTCCTTAAGAGAATGAGTATCAATCTTTTTGAGCTCCTTCTGTCATATCCTTCAATTATTGGTGCATTGCTTAATTTTTAGATCATTTCATACCTTCCAAAAGAAATTCTGTTAATTTTTACTCACCACACCTGAGAACATTCTGGGTGATTCTAGCTAAAGATTTGTCAATTTTGTTTATCTTTTCAATGAACCAGCTCTAAATACCATTTCATTGATATTTTCTTTTGTCTTTTTAGTCTCTATTTCTTTTATTTCCGCCTTAGTTTTTGTTATTTCCTTCCTTCTACTAACTCTGGACTTTGTTCTTCCTCTTCTAGTTCCTTGAGGTGTAAAGTTAGGTTGTTATTGAAGATTTGTCTTGTCTCCTGATGGAAGCACTTATTGTTATGAACTTCCCTCTTTCTTTTATTTTTTAAATTTATTTTATTGAAGTATAGTTGATTTACCACATTGTGTTAATTTCTGCTATACGGCAAAGTGATTCAGTTATACATACATATATATATATATATATACATTCCTTTTCATATTCTTTTCAATTATAGTTTATCACAGGATATTGAATATAGTTCCCTGTGCTATACGGTAGGACCTTGTTGTTTATCCATCCTATACATAATGGTTTGCATTTGCTAATCCCCAAACTCCCAATCCAACCCTCTCCTTTCCCCCAACCCTCGGCAACCACAAGTCTGATGAACTTCCCTCTTAGAACTGCTTTTGCTGCATTCCATAAGAGAATTCTAGAATTTCACTCTTTGTTTCAGTTGTCCAGAGAGAACCAGAGGCCCAGTAGCTTCCTGAAAGTGGGACAGGGCTTAAACACAAACAGAAAAGTCTTGGTTCGTGGGTTTGGGGTCACCTGACACAATTCCAGGAGGAGCATCTGGAAACACACCTGAAGTTCCACAGAGGACGATCCCTCTGTGAAAGGCTCAGAGGGGTGAGGGTCCCAGGGGGACAACACAGAATGCCATTCACCCATGAAAACTACATCTCAGGTTTCCACAGCAGAAATAAAACATATGTGGCATGCTAATCTTGCCCTGTTTTGTTGCAAAGACCTCTGACTGACCTTAAAAATACATAAAATAGACATGTTGGCCATCAGATGCATTATATTCCCGAATGAACCAAATACTCTACTGTCAATTATCTGATACAATCAGGCTGTTAGTCCTTCAGGCTTACAACACAAAGTTTCTCTTAAGGTAATTTGAAATCATACAGTACTTTCTTTGGCTGATTTTTCCCCCAACTTTTTATTTTGAAAAATTTCAAACGTAGAGTAAGATGACAGAATGGTACAATGAATACCCATACCCCCTTCACCTAGATGCACCAACAATTAACACTTTGTCATATTTGCTTGATCAAGCAGTATTTAACCTTAAAGGCACATGGGATGACCCTTGAGAAGGGTGAAAAGAACCTCACACAGACCAGGACACTCTGATGTCATGCCAAAATGTGACCTCCCAGTTGTTAGGTGTGTTGAGATGTCTTTGGACCTCTCCTTGGCTGAGGCTTGACTGCTCATTCTGGATTAAGAAACAGGGGAGATTAATTGAGGAAAAGCGTGAACCGTGCTTATGCAAATGTATTTGAGAAAATGTCAATAAATTCAGTAAATATAAAGTTTATTTTCGCTTACTGGTATCCATATTTAAAGCAAAACACTTTTTCAGCATTTGTATATATCATACATTCACTCACCAAATATATATGAAGCTCCCACTCTAGCTGTGCCCAGCACTGTTCTGGACACAGGACATGGCAACGTGGTGAGCTCAGACCTCACGACCTTCACCATAGAGGGACTGGGACCAATGACGAGCTAGTACAGGAATGCCACGTCGGGATATGTGATCTGGAGGAAATGAAGCAATACTCGGGGTGAGGTTAGTGACTCCAACTCATTCCTTCAGGGTCACAGGCCCAGTGAGTGGAAAGAGTCAGCAACCCTGTTCCAGAAACAAACAGGAGGAACAGAGGTGGGGGCAGGAGGTGAGACCAGAAATCATCAGGGCCAGATGTGTAAGGCCTCATTGCGCCTGGCAAAGAGCTTGGATTTCATCATAAATTCAGAGGAAAATCAAAAGAGGTTTTTATGCAGAGAAAGGGCACAATCTGACTTAAGTTGCAAAGGTTCCTCTGGCCGTTGTGCATAAAAAGTGATTATAGGACGTGTATTAGCTTCTTCAGCCTGCCATAGTAAAGCACCACAAACTGGGCGGCTTAAAACGACAGAAACTTATTGTCTCACAGCTCTGGAGGCTAGAAGTCCAAAATCAAGGTGTTGAGGGAATTCCCTGGCAGTCCAGTGGTTAGGGCTCCGTGCTTCCACTGCAGGGGGCACAGGTTCAATCCCTGGTCAGGGAACTAAAATCCCACATGCTGTGTGGCCGGAAAAAGAAAAAAGATCAAAGGTCTCGCTCCCTCCAAAGTCTCTAGGGGAGGAGGATTCCTTGCCTTTTCCAGCTCCTGGTGTCCCCAGGCAGCCCTGGGCTTGTGGCAGCATCGCTCCACTCTCCACCTCCATCCTCACATGGCTGTCTTCCCTGTGTGTGTGTGTTTCCATGTCTCTTCTCCTTATAAGAACACCAGTCAGATTGGATTAGGGCTCACCCTAAAGATTTCACCTTCAATTAACTGCACCTGCAAAAACCCTATTTCTAAATAAGGTCACATTTAAAATTTCCAGGGGGTAGGACTTCAACATACCTTTTAGGGCGATGCAGTTCAACCCATGGCAGGGGCACAGTAAAAAGCAGGGGACTGTCCGGGGCTCCTGCAGTGTACAGGTAGGAGGAGAGCAGCTGCGATGCCTGGGGAATGAAGAGGGGAAAAAGAGGTAAGATACAAGTTACCTTTTGTAAGTCTACCCACAAGACTAGTGGAGTGTGAGGGCAAAGAGCAATCAGGAGTGCCTTCTAGAATTTTGGATTACACAACTAGGAAGACAGTGGGGCCATTTATGAGATGAAAAAGTTAAGAGAAGGATCAAGTTTGGAGAACAAATCAATAGCTGTATTTGAAGCATGTTCAACTTGAGAGGCCTTTTAGATGCGCCCATGGACCTGTCAAAGAAGCACTTGAATCTACTTGTCTGGATCTCAGGGGAGAAGTCAGGACTAGAGCCCACGAGCCACAACCACTGAGCCTGCGCTCTAGAGCCCACGAGCCACAACCACTGAGCCTGCACTCTAGAGCTCATGAGCCACAACTACTGAAGCCCGTGCACCTAGAGCCTGTGCTCCGCAACAAGAGCAGCCACCGTAATGAGAAGCCCGCGCATGACAACGAAGAGTAGCCTCCGCTCGCCGCAACTAGAGAAAGCCCGTGCACAGCAACGAAGACCCAATACAGCCAAAAATAAACAAACAAACAAACATTTTTCAAAAATCCAAAATAATCCTATAAGAAAGGATCCAGCTCTGTTTTTTGATGTTTGACTGCTGACAGCTCTTTTTTTTTTTTTTTTTTTTTTTTTTGCGGTACACGGGCCTCTCACTGTTGTGGCCTCTCTCGTTGCAGAGCACAGGCTCTGGACGCACAGGCTCAGCAGCCATGGCTCATGGGCCCAGCCACTCCGCGGCATCTAGGGATCCTCCCAGACCGGGGCACGAACTCATGTCTCCTGCATCGGTAGGCGGACTCTCAACCACTGCGCCATCAGGGAAGCCCAACTACTGGCAGCTTTTAAGCCTCATCCCTCCTGCTGCCCCCTTCCACCCACATCGAATAAAAAAGCCCGAGTGCTCCCTCTTTTGGTCCAGAGGGAGAGTCAGACCACAGAAGCCTTCTTCCATGCCCAGAACCAAGCCTGTCTCTCTTCCTTTCTCTCTCAAGACATTTTTGGACCAGCTTGGGAAGCCTATTCCGCCCTCCCCAAAAGCCTCGTTATGTGGGTAATAAACTTTTCATACACCCTCCTGGTGCGAGTCTGGCACCATCGGTCTCAATGTCAAAATCCGGTTTTGGGTGGGAGGGAGTCCGTCTCGCTTGTTCAAAGTGGCTAAAACAAAACCCAGGAATCAATCACAAACTATTGTTTAGAGAAGAAAAGAAACATTTAGCCCTCCAATAGAAAAGATAGAAAGCAGCTGGGAACACTAATGAAACAGTGTCCAATAAAATAGCTGAATCCACAAGACGGGAACCCCACAAGCCTGGGACCACTCAGACCCCGACCCCCTTTGCAGAGGGAACGCAGAGCCGTGCCGGCAAAGCTCGGATTAAGAGCTGGCTGGTAGCTAGCCGTGTTCCAATTCTACAAATCAAAATCTAAATTTGAAAGAGAAATGTTAGTAAATTATAGAAATTTGCCTTACGTGTTTAGGGGCCAGAGGATGGGTGGGGAGGCCCAAGAGATGGAGACAGGGTTATGAAGCACAGAGTATGAGGTACAAAAATCACATCCTCCCACTTGTGGAATAAGACGAATGATTTTACTACCTGGAAAGCATCTGTCGCTGTGGTTTTAATAATGTTTTTTCTAAACCACTTACAGTTTTCAGGCTAAGCTTTCTCAGAATCAGTAATCTCTAAACATGTGTAATATCTTGATTCTACACCCTGCTTTTTGTACTCGTTTGGAGGAAATATGCACCAGATTACAGAAAGGTTCATCCAGGCCAGGGGTGGGGAGAGGGGGTCTGGTATAAAGGTCTCCACGGAGAACATGAGAAAACACAGCCCTTGTGCTGGTGCAAAAAAGGGGGGGAGGGGCAATCAAGGAACTTTGAGTTATGCTGTAGGAAGGATGAGAGAGCTGAGTTCCAGCCCTGCTTTTCCACAACTGACCTTAGGAAACTCATTCAACATCTCACTTCCTCAATTTCTCCTCCATAAAGCAATGAGGTTCAAGTGGATGGTCTCTGAGGTCTGAAATCACTACAGTTCCGTAATTCATGGTCTCTAAGCCAAAAGCATCAGGCTTAAAAAATTACAAAGAGAGGAGACGTGGCCAGATTCAATCCCCTTCCAGCACGACTTTTTTTTTTTAACTTGTGAATCCATCTCAGTGAGATTCCAAGTCTCAGACCCTACAAGGTCCCCCAGTAAATCCTGGGGGACCAGCAGCCCCTGTTATTTCTGGGGCTGGAGTCGATGGGTGCCAGCCTCCCATCTCTGCCTCACACCCCTTTGGAAACCACACCAGTCATGAGGTGAATGGGAAATAACTCAGCCCTTCCAGCTCCTGCAGATGTTGTACGGGGTTTCTCCACAGGAGCTGCCAAGATGCTAAGCCCCTCTCTGTAGTTGCAAGTGGCTGCTCTCGAAGAGACCCAACCAGAGGAGGGATGCAGTGAGGCCAGCCCCAATGCACAGAGCAACCGTAGCCAAAGCTGACTTAAACCCACAGAATGTGGACCAGGAAAAGGCTTGTTTCCTCTCCGTTTTGAAGGCATGAGAGAAGCTCCTGAGAACCAAGGAGTCAAGTTCAGAATGCCCTGAAGAATCTATATTTTAATATTTTCTACATCACGCTGTTGACCAGCCAGCCGCCTGGCACATCTGTTTCTAGCTATGAAACCATTCGTGGAAAACACTCTAGCAAACGCTCTGCTCTCGCCTCTGCTTGAATCCCCGCCTCAGGTCACTCCTTCTCCTCCAGGACCCCAGAAAAACCAAGACAAATGTGGCTGCTCCGTGGTGAAGGTGAACTAGGTCCTATTGACTCAAGGTAAGACTCTGCAAAAGTCATCACTAATTTACATCTAAGCTGCATCCAGTTATTACCAGGAAATAGAGTCAGGCTTTGCCTCCTGACATGATGGCTTTTTCCCTCTTGTGCCAAATCACGAGCCGTGATCTTCCTCCTCGTGATGGATATATTGTTATGGAATTAGCTCCTCCCTCTTCCCTGAAAATGGAGAGATCTTCCCCCCCAGTTTTTAAGCCCTTTTACCCCTCATCTTGTCTACGAAGGTCTTCATCCACATGGAGAGGGTGGCGGGCCTGCGAAGCTGAGGGGCATCATGCCTGGCCAAAAGAAAGAGGACTTTCACTTTTGATTACAAGATACACCCACAGGATTAGTGTTGCCCTCATGCTATTTACATAATTCGAAGAGCCAATCAAATATGGAAGGTGCATTCAGTCTTTGGGGAACTAGGATTAAGAGTGAGAGATGTCCCTCTGGCTTAAGAAGAGCCCATGGTTAGCAGGCCACCTCTGATGAGAAGTTCCTAGTCCAGAAACACTGCCCCCCTGCACACACACACACACACACACACACTCTCACACACACAGCACTCAGGAGAACAAGCCCATGATTTGCACATGAATGACAGCATCAGGACCTTCGACAAATAACAACAGTTACTCCCGCTTGTCCTGGGCGTTGCCAGGTACTGTGCTGGCCATTCTCCTCTCTGGTCCCAGATTCTTCACCTTGGTCCCCTCTTTGCTGCCCCTCTTTCCCCAGCCCTAACACCCACATCCACAGTCCCCTCTGATAGGTGTCAGTGCATTTCCATTCAAAAAGATGGATAGAGTGACTGGGTATTCGTCATATTTGGACTACAAGTTTTCTAGGAAAATACTGGTCATAGGAAAATGTATCCCTAAAATCCCAAGAACAAAAAAATTGGTGAACAATACCATTTAGGCATGTGAATTAGTGAAAAATAAAATAAAATAAAATATGACACAAATGCGAATTCCCTGGAGGTCCAGGGCTTAGGACTTGGCGCTTTCACTGTCTAAGGTTCAATCCCTGGTCAGGGAACTAAGATCCTGCAAGCCATGCAGCACAGCCAATAAATAAATTAAATAATAAATAAATAAATAAAATATGACACAAATGAACATACCTATGAAACAGAAACAGACTCACAGACATAGAGAACGGACTTGCCAAGGGTAGAGGGGAGGCTCAGGGGGAGGGAAGGATTGAGAGTTTGGGATTAGCAGGTGCAAAATACTGTATAGAGGGTGGATAAACAACAACCTCCTACTGCACAGCACAGGGAACTCGATTCAATATCCTGAGATAAACCGTAATGGAAAAGAATATGAAAAAGAATATATAGGTGTATAACTGAAGCACGTTGCTGTACACCAGAAACTAACAACATTGTAAACCAACTATACTTTAATAAAATTTTTTAAAATGTCTGACATGCCTTTTAAGTTCTGTGCTGTAGTACTAGGGTTAAAATTGACATAAGTGGTTTTTCTTTGTTTGTTTGTTTGTTTGTTTGTTTTTACGGTACATGGGCCTCTCACTGTTGTGACCTCTCCCATTGCGGAGCACAGGCTCCAGACGCGCAGGCTCAGCGGCCATGGCTCACGGGCCCAGCCGCTCCGCGGCATGTGGGATCTTTCCGGACCGGGGCACGAACCCGCGTCCCCTGCATCGGCAGGCGGACTCTCAACCACTGCGCCACCAGGGAAGCCCGACGTAAGTGTTTTGAATATTTCAAATGTTACTCCTTTTCTTCCTTCTGTCAGATCTCATCTGGCTTTCCAATCCCGATCACCCCTGATGGTACACACCTGATCCTGTCAAACAGGGTACCTTGGTCCTTTCTGGTGTAAGATTCAGTCTGTTTCACATTATAACTACCCCTTTCCAAATCCTTCCTCACATCCTATTTCTCCTCAGCTTCTCCCCAGTGATATCTCAGGCCTGACTTCATGACCGTGTGTGTGTGTGTGTGTGTGTGTGTGTGTGTGTGTGTGTGTGTGTGTGTTCAGTTGATGGAAAAGCCTGTTCTGGTCCTCATAGCTGCTATGCTGACATCTTGAGGACATGCTTCTGCATCTACTGCCAGGGTCTCAGAGTTTTTAACGCTCTGATGTGTATTGTGAAATCTAGCACTTGACAAAAGTGCTCATTGGCTGGGGCACTGCTGGTCCTGTGCATCAAGTGCTCTCCTCTTTAACGTGGCTAATAAGCCTCCTTGGAAGCCTGACATTGTTTTCAGAGTCATTAAAGACCATGCATGAAATATCAGCCTCTGGCAAAACTAACTCCAAATAGTTCCCTATTAATAAGTATGTGTAACAGTCCCACTGGCAAGGGATGACGCTGACCGCGTGTAAATGACTAACTGGTCTCAATGTAACTGCGACCTTGTGCAGCTGAGCCCTGAAGAACACGAGGTGCTTTCGAGCTGGAACACTTCAGAACTTAGAGACTGTCCTTGCTGTTGAATTATAAAGAGCTTGTCTCACTGGATTAATGTCCCCCGTGTTCCACACTCAAATGTAGTCTTAGCTAGAAACCTCGGCTTAGACACCCATTGCCCTGCAAGCCCAGAATGATCATCTATTGCCAAAAACCTGGTTGGGTTTTCCAGAAAGAGCCAATTTGCAGATTTGGGGATGCCTTATCTTCCTCTGATTGCCTCCTAGCTTCTTCCCCATTCTGCTCCACCAGATCCTTCCAAAAAGGAGGAAGTGAAAGCTCTTACAGTCCAACAGAGCAAGCCTTCTGATGCCTTTCGCATCTCAGGTCTGCAGTAAATATTTGTGGCTGAGAAAGATGCTGAAAACTGCTGCCCTGGACTAATCTCAGCCTCATCAGAACCAGGTGAAGGAAAGGGAAGGGAAAGGGTACTAATTTTAATGTGTGCAAGCAGTGCTGGGCAGTAGCATAGTGTAACTTGTTTATTATCTCTGTGTTACAAATGAGAACGTGCAGGCTCAGAGAGGCTACTGAACGTGTGCATGATCACAGCAGTAGGAAGGCTATGATTTGAACTCATGTTTCTGACCCAGAAACTTGTGCTATTTCCACCAGATCCATTGCTCTGTGTGGTCCTTGACTACAAGGCAAATGAAAACAGAAGAGGTTTTTTAATAGACACCTTTATCAGACTGAAGAAGTTTCCTTCTCTTCCTAGTTAATTGACAGATTTTACCATAAATGGACATTGAATTTATCAAATGCTTTCTCTCAGTCTACTGAGATGAAACTATGTTTTGTTTTTGTGTGTATATGTGTTTTTTTAGTTTGTTAACATGGTGAATTACATAGATTGATTTCCAAATTTTATAACAACTTTGCATTCCTGGAATAAATTATTATATTCCTGGCCATAATATATAATTCTGTTTATATGTTTTAGGATACCATTTGCTAAAATTTTGTCAAGACTTTTTACAACTATTCTCATGGTAATATTCTTTCCTTATAGTGTCTTTTTGTCGTTTTATTACTGTTTACTATTTATTAAAAGGTAATGTTAAATAACATTGTAAATCAACTATACTTCAAAAAAATTGTTTAAAGAAACTTTTTTAAAAAGGTAAGGTTAGCCTCATAAGGTGACTTATGAAGGATTCCCTTTACTTCAATTGTCTGGAAGAGTTTAGGTAGAACTGATATAATTTTTTCTGCAAACGTTTGTTATGATTGATCAGTAGAGCATCTGGGCCTGTAGTTTTCTTTGTGGGAAGGTTTATAACTACAAATTCAATTTCTTTACTAGACTTAGGACTATTTAGGTCATCTATCTCTTTTTGAGTGAGCTGGTAGCTTGTATTTTTCAAGGACTGTATCCATTTCATCTAAGTTGTCAAATTTATTGGAATAAGATTGTTCAGAATAGTCCTTTATTATCCTTTAATATCTGTAGGGTCTGTAATGATGCCACATCTTTCATTTTTTTATATTGGCAATTTGTGTCTGCTCTCTTTTCTTCCTGATCAGTATAGCTAAGGTTTATCAATTTTATTGATTTTCTCAAAGAAGAAGGTTTTGGCTTATTAATATTCTCTATTAATCTTCAAGTTAATCTCATTAATTTCTATATTGTTTCATTTCTTCTTCTTACTTTAAGTTTAGTTTGCTCTTTTGATTATTTGTTTGTTTCCTAAGTAGGAAGCTGAAATCATTGATTTGAGACCTTTCTTCTTTACTAATATAGGCATTTAGTGCCCTAAATTTCCCACTAAGTACTGAATTAGTGGCATGTCACAAATTTTTATATGCTGCATTTTAATTTTAGTTTAGTGGAAAGCACTTTCCAAATTTCTCTTTTGAATTCTTCTTTGTTCCCTGAGGTTTTTTTTATAAGTGTGTTGTTTAATTGCCAAACATCTGGGAATTTTCCAGAGATCTTTCTGTTATTGATATCTAATATAATTCCATTATGATCAAATGGCATATGTTGTATAATTAGAATTCTCTTCAATGTATTGAGACTTCTTTTATGGCCCCATATATGGTTGATCTTAGTAATTGTTCTATGTGCACTTGAAAAGAATGTCTACACTGTTGTGGTTATGTGAAATGTCAGTTAGGTCAAGTTGGTTAACGGTGTTGTTCAGGTCCTCTTCTATATCCTTGCCAACTTTTTTGTCTACTTGTTCTATTCATTACTGAGAGAAGGACATTGAAATCTCTGACATGATTGTAGCTTGGCTATTGATCTTTGTAGCTCTACCAGTTTTTGCACTATACATATTTAAGCTCTGCTATTAGGTGCATAAACATTTATGATTATAATGACCTCTTGATGAACTGACATCTATATCATTATGAAATGACCTTCTTTTTTTTAATTTACTTTGTTCTGAAATCTACTTTGTCTGATATTAATGTAGTCACCCCAGCTTTCTTTCAATTGGTGTTAGCATGATCTTTCTTCATAGCTTTACTTTTAACCTATTTGTAAATTTATAATTAAAGTGTGTTTCTTGCAGATAGCATAAAGTTGTGTCTCACTTTTTATCCAATCCAACAATCTATTCTACTTAATTGAAGTATGTATCAGTTTGCTGGGGCTGCTGTGACAAAGAACCACAAAGCAGGTGGCTTAATCAACAGAAATTTACTGCCTTACGATTTTGAAGGCTAGCAATCCAAAATCAAGGTCTCAGACAAGGTGGGCTCTTTCTGAAGGCTGTGAGGGAAGGATCTATTGTTTAATTTTGCATGGTTTCTATTTCTGTGCCTTCAATCTTTTCACTAAACTGTTCTTCTGTAACATCTAGTTTGTTGTCAGTCCCATCCAGTATATTTTTCATCTGAGACATTGTAGTTTTCATCTCTAGCAGCTCTACTGTAGTCTTTTTTATAACTTCCATGTCTCTAACTTTCAAACATCTATATAGAAAACAGCAATATTCATAATATTAATCTTTTAATGTGTTCGTTCATTCTAATCTCACTATAGTCAGTTCTGGGTTTGTTTGTTTGTTTTCTTGCGGTATGTGGGCCTCTCACTGCTGTGGCCTCTCCCGTTGCAGAGCACAGGCTCTGGACGCACAGGCTCAGCGGCCATGGCTCACGGGCCCAGCCGCTCTGCGGCATGTGGGATCTTCCCGGACCAGGGCACGAACCCATGTCCCCTGCATCGGCAGGCGGACTCTCAACCACTGCGCCACCAGGGAAGCCCCATTTCTGGGTTATTTTTAGTTGACTGACTTTTCATCATGAGTTGTGTTTCCCTTTTTCTTTGCATGCCTGGTAATTAGGTGTCACTTTTTAATTAGGTGTCACATATTTTGAATTCTAATCTGTTAGGTAATGTATATTTTTGTATGCCCATAAATATTCTTGAAGTTTGTTCTGGGACGCAGTTAAGTTTCTTAGAATCTGCTTGATCCTTTTGGGTCTTGCATTTAAGCCTTGTCAGGCAGGACCAAAACAGTGTTTAGTCTAGAATTAATTATTCCCCACTATTGTAATCAAATCCTTCAGAGTACTCTATCCAATTCTCCATGAGTTATGAGTTTTTTCAGTCTGGCTAGAGGGAAGAGGCATTATTCTTGGCCCCATGTGGACACTGCGTACTATTTCCTCTAATCCCTTCAGACAGTTCTTTCCCGATCTCAGGCATCACCCATCCCTGGCCTTAGCTCCATGGGATAGTGTGAAGGCAGGAGACCCCTCAGACTCTTCCCAGCCTCATGAAGCTTTGTATCTGTTGGCCTGGCATGTCTGGTATCACCCCATAAGTCGACAGAACTTCTCCTGCCACAGTTAGACCACTTGACCTATGAACCCCACCCCACCCTCTATCCTATTTGCTTCTGGGTCCTCACCTTCAGCTGGACAAACCCCTCTCAGTTCCTTGTTTGCTCTCACTCTTGTTTCACTCTCCCAAGCGATAATGGTGGCGTGCCTAACTGGGCAGCGCCCATCGGTGAGGTCGGGAATGGGGTGGGGCCCCCTTCCTGGAAGCTGGCTGATGATCACGAGAGCGGTTCGTCTGTGAGTGGAGCCATGTCTAAATGAGCACCTGCTTCGGATCCAACATGAGAAAGGGAGTGGAGTTCAGTGACGTCAAGAGGCTGGTGGAGAAGACAGAGGGGGAACTCCCTGGCGGTCCAGTGGTTAGGACTCCGTGCTCTCACTGCCGAGGCCCCGGGTTCCATCCCTGGTCAGGGAACTAAGATCCTTAAGCTGCGCGGCACCGCCATCAATTTTTAAAAACTTAAAAAAGAAAGAGAGAGAGAGAGAGACAGGGACCAAGGTGCCCCTGAGACAGTGAGTCAATAACAACAGACACTTACCTTTCGATCTCAAAGAAGCTAGAAGTACCATCCAGAAGTAGACACTCTTCCGATATTGCCGTTAGCCGACCCTTCTTCTGGGGCCCTCCCCAGATACTCATCAACCTGTGGGGACACAAGTGCCCTGCTGGCCATGGCTCCAGACCTCCCTCCTCCCACTGAAGCTAACTTTCTGCTTCATCTACTTCTGCGCACATCTGTACGGCCACAGCTTTGACTTCATCTTGAAGCGGGCGCTCACTCTCACTGTTGCCAAACGAACTAGCGGAAATAGAGATGGAACCAACCCCACCCCACTCGACCCCAACAAGAGTGCTTGTCCCAGCCTTTGGCATGGCCTTAGTAAGGCTCTGCTGACAACTAGCCTTCAGACCAGCATCACCCCCTGCAGACCAGAGATCAGACTGGTAGCCCCAGGCCTGGTCTGGTCTTCAGAGGTATTTACTGGACCACATACTGTATTTACATCTTTAATTTCCAAACCTTTAAATGTCAGGAGGGTTTTTGTTTGTTTGTTGGGTTTTTTTATAAATTTATTTATTTTTGTCTGCGTTGGGTCTTCATTGCTGTGCACTGGCTTTTCTCTAGTTGCGGCGAGTGGGGGCTACTCTTCGCTGTGGTGCACAAGCTCCTTATTGCGGTGGCTTCTCTTGTTGAGGAGCACGGGCTCTAGGCCCACGGGTTTCAGTAGCTGTGGCACGTGGGCTCAGTAGTTGTGGCTCGTGGGCTCTAGAGCGCAGGCTCAGTAGTTGTGGCGCACGGGCTTAGTTGCTCTGCAGCATGTGGGATCTTCCCGGACCAGGGCTTGAACCCATGTCCCCTGCATTGGCAGGCGGATTCCCTGCACAAGCAGGAAAGTCCTGTCAGGAGGTTGTTACATTAAAATATTAATTTGCAACCTATCTTGAAAAATTAAAAGCTATGGCAACACTGGATTGACCTATGTCAATGATGACTTCCGTTAAATAAGCACTTGTGTCCGGGTGGTCACATTGTCCACCTGCTGGCTTCACTCATGTAATTTACCTGTTTGGTCCCCATAGGCATTGGAGATCGCTACCCCTGCCACAGGTGGGATCTTGTACAGGATAAACATAGGCGGACGCTTTTTTCCTCTCTTTGTGGGTGTCACAAATATAATGTCCAGATGTAAGACTCTTTTTTAAGGGAGCAAGGGCACAGAGCAGTCATAGTAAATTATACACTAAAGACAAAACTCATAATTTAGCATCAAGAAGTACTCCTTTTAGGCTTTTCCTCTGGGCGCCTCACCTGCTTCAACTCTCAGAACTATGGTCTGTCTTTTGTCCTTTTCTTTCTTCTTCAAGATTTTTATTCTTAAAAGATTTATTTTAAAACACTTATATACGGACACACAAGTTTTTGGCCACAGCATTGTCATTCTCTGCTTTGAAATGAAAACGGTATGGAAAACACATCACAAGCAAATTTTGAACCTTAAGAAAATGCATATTTTAGCACATGTTTTCAATTATAGTGGAATGAATTTGAAGCTATGGAGACCCAGCTTGGCACAGTGAACAGCTGGCCTGTGATCATCCCCACAGCTTTCATCGTCTGATACAAACCAGCCTTCCAAGCAGAGCCTTCTGAGGTCAGCTTCCAAGTGTCATCTGGCCAAACCCAAACTTTTGACGAAAAGAGGAAAATATGTATTATCCAGCCCTCAAGCTCATACAGAAGAGAATTAACTCAGGACATGAGATTCAGCCACTTCATTTCTCCTGCCCATTGCGTCTCAGAAGCACCAGCCTGCCTTTCTACCATCTTTTGAAACAGGAAAGCCAGTTAGAGTACAACTTTGTTTTTATACATGTATTGGCTTAGAGAGATGGTTTGCTTTTAACACCCATCCAAGTTGAGTGAGTGTCTTTCCTGAGTTAAAAATGGCACAGTGTTTTTTTATGGCCAAATGTATTCTTTCTTTGAGTGTATTATAGGCTGGAGGATCCCAGAGGCCAACACTAGACTCAAAGGATACTTGACAAGCCCAGGAGGAGTCAAATTAGCGTGTACCAGGTAGACTCCAAAGGGTCACTGGTTTCAATGACTTCCCAACCATTCTTTAAGAGGCTGGCAGTTCCACAGAAGTTCCCTGCGCTGCTTCAAGAAGGAAAAACCAAGAGTAAGGACTCAGTTCCCAACCCAGGCTTCAACTAGGGCAGCTCTGGGGTTTTTGGGGGGTTTTTTGTTGTTGTTTTTTGGATATTTATTTAATTATTTGGCTGCACCAGGTCTTAGTTGCGGCACGCGGGATCTTCGTTGCAGCACGCAGGATCTTTTTTAGTTACGGCATGTGGGATCTAGTTCCCTGACCAGGGATTGAACCCAAGCCCCCTGCATGGGGAGCACAGAGCCTTAGCCACTGAACCACCAGGGAAGTCCCGGCAGCTCTGTTTTAATATTAGCCTACTTGGAGTAACATTTCATTTAAGGAAAAATCTGATGGATAAAGAGTTTGAAAACCACTGCTTCAGGATATATACCATTTGGGCAACCTCCCCTCTTAAAAAAATGGTTTTTTTAATAAGTAGCACACATGACCTAATATAACTATCCCTTGCTATCTAGTGCTGTCTGCTTCCTAAATTTAGTTACAGGAATCCAGACAGACACATCAGGCTGCTTCTATTGCGAAACTGCTGCTAGGCTCACATCGGCAAGTTCACACTGAATCTTCAGTTCATCATGTCATTTTGAGCTTTTCCCATTTTAATCACTAAGCTTCAATCATGAAACTTAGGAAGGATTACTGACACCCAGAAGGAGGATCTGACAAAAGACTCAACCCATCTGACCAATACTCAAGTCACATCTAATACTCAAACCCCCCTCCAATCATCATTCTAACAAAGAAAATGTTTTAAAAGTTTTCATGCATTTGGATTTCTGCTCATGTATGGAGCACACAATCGGAAACACAAAAACACTTGGTTACCCTTCAGCTGAGAAACTGAGGAACGTGAATCCTCCTGCAAGCTGACACAATAAACCATTCTCCACTACAGCACCTTAGGTAACTGGGCTAAGCAAAAAGCCACGCTCAGGGTCTAAAGGGAATGGGACACCTCAGGGCACTGGGACCCCACCGGAAGCCCTATATCCATGTTCCTCAAATCTAAAGCTAGAAATCCTGACCAAACAAGTTCAAATATACTTTGGGGAATATTTACACTGAATATTCAAAACCAGGACCAGCTTGGAATGCCCTGATTATACACTTGGCAGAGTCTTAAGTCCCTATCGGAAGTGTGGATACCCAGAAGGGAAGCCTAGATGTTAGGAGGAGCCCGGGGAGGTGGCCTCGCCATTGTCTGTCGTGAGCCCTGAGTTTCACAGCTGTTTATCACAGGTGGTCCCTGGACAGGTGCTGGCTGAGTCGGGAGAATGCCCTGCGATGCTCAGGAACACGGTCAAGGACTTGTATTTGGAACCAGTTCCTAACACTCTTATTCCACAACCAGAAAGTCCTGCGTGGCTTTTCTTTTGAAAACAAAATCAACATTTCTCACTTTGCATTCCTTTTTGCCAAACATGCAGGTTTCTTTTGAACATTTTCCATCTGACCCAACCTCAGTTAATTCTGTACATATTTTCAGACCAACTGTAGCAGACACTCCCCGTTCACCAAGAAGAAGACATAACGTGCACGTGAGGTAGGTCAAGAGGAGGAGCGAATACATAAGAGCCCAGGATAAGCTGAAGGACAGAGGCCCAGGCGGTGACCACTGCCAGGGTGACAGTGGCTAGAAGGCAGAGGCTATAAGCGAAGAAAAGCCCCAAATGTATGCCTTTCCCAAACCTCAGCTGATCACCAAATTTCAACTTGTGTTTAAGGTTGTTCGTGTTCTCGTAATTATAAAAGATGACTGAGGAAAGTTTACAGCCTTGACTCCTGTTAAATCCGCCCTCTGTGATCTTAGTTCCTCCATCCAGGACTGGACACAGACACACCAGCACCTACTTCTGGGACTGCAGTATAGATGTCTGTGTTTAACAAGAGAACAGTCATGTAGGGTGACTTTCTCAAATCATTACATAGAATTATGGAAACTTTGGCACTAAGGAAACTAAGTTTTTGGTGAAAGTCCAAGAGAGAAAAGATATCGATGTAAAAGTTCCATTTTTCCTTTATTCTCCCATTTCATGAAATCATTTGTTTTCCTTCTTTTTGTCTTTCTTCAATGATTATTTAATCACCATAGCTCCCAGTGGGGAAGGCAGGAGACTTCCAGCTTCAGAATGAGGGTGGGAATTGACATATAATTTCCAGATATCCATACTGGTCCAAAAGAGCAGCCAGGATGCCTAATTGCCCCATAAGTCACACATGTGAAGGCCTGAATCCTTGTTTCCTGGATCTCGAAAGTGAATTTTGTCAAGAAATTCTTTCCAATATCATATGGAGGTCCCTTCTCCAGTTCAGCCAAACAGTAGGCTCACAAGGTGAAGGAGTGAGTATCAGGGACTGGAGAGAACTGAAGGAAAGAAGTTGAAAATTGGCAGAAGGAAAGTTAAACGTTCTCATTGACCCCGGGCTCTCAGGTGCACAGGTATTAAGTCACAAAGGGGACACAGGTGAGCATTGTTCATGGTCAAAGGGCAGAGCAGAGGAAGTGAAATTCAAGGAACCAAAGTATTAGCACTTTATTCTATCCCATCAAACTTAGGAAATATTATTTATTTCCTGATTTCGCTAAATAAAATGCTTCTAGAGCTAATGTTGCATTTGGTTTCTTCATTTCTTTTTTCCTACTGATATTTCAATTCTCGATTGGATGCCAGAAAATGTTAAATATTAGTTCCCATCTTCATAAATATTAGCATCTTAATATTAAAATATGAAAGGTAGAGAAGGAGAAAAGCTTTCCTGAGAGCACTAGTTCCAGAGGGAAATTCAGGGATGAGAGATAGCTCTAGGGCGTTTTGTTTTCCCTGCATCCTCCCTTCCAGGGTCAAGCAGCCAACTGCTCAATGGGATCCTTTATCCACCCAGGCAGGGCCAGTGCATTTCGTCCAGAGTAGCATCTTCTCTCAGGAATAATGTCTCAGTGCAAAAAACAAAACAAAACAAATAAACAAAC